TGTAAAGTGTTATTTTTCAATTTACCTGTTTATAATCTCATGTAAAGTGTTATTTTTCAATTTACCTGTTTATAATCTCATGTGGGAGTTTTAAGTAGAATGCGGAAATTGGGCCACTCCGCATGTAGAGTGTTATTTTTCAATATACCTGTTTATAATCTCATGTAAAGTATTATTTTTCAATTTACCTGTTTATAATCTCATGTAGAGTGTTATTTTTCAATATACCTGTTTATAATCTCATGTGTGAGTTTTAAGTCGGATGCGGAAATTGGGCCGCTCCGCATGTAGAGTATCATTTTTAGCTCACCTGAGCCGAAGGCTCAAGTGAGCTTTTCTGATCAAAATTTGTCCGTTGTCTGTCGTCGTAGTCGTTGTCGTCGTAGTCGTTGTTGTCGTTGTAAACTTTTCACATTTTCATCTTCTTCTCAAGAACCACTGGGCCAATTTCAGCCAAACTTGCCACATAGTATCCTTGGGTGAAGGGGATTGAAGTTTGTTCAAATGAAGGGCCACACCCTTTTCCAAGGGGAGATAATCATGAATAAGGGAAAAATTATTGGCATTTTTAAAAAATCTTCTTCTCAAGAACCACTGGGCCAGGAAAAATGAAACTCATGTGGAATCATCCTCAAGTAATGCAGATTCAAGTTTGTTCAAGTCATGACCCCCGGGGGTAGGGTGGGGCCAAAATGGCGGATCAAAGTTTTACATAGGAATATATAGGAAAAATCTTTAAAAATCTTCTTCTCAAGAACCACTGGGCCAGGAAAGATGAAACTCATGTGGAATCATCCTCAGGTTGTGTAGATTCAAGTTTCTTCAAGTCATAACCCCTAGGCCTGGGGGTGGGGCGGGGCCAAAATGGCGGATCAAAGTTTTACAATGGAATATATAGGAAAAATCTTTAAAAATTTTCTTCTTAAGAACCACTGGGCCAGGAAAAATGAAACTCATGTGGAATCATCCTCAGGTAATGTAGATTCAAGTTTTTTCAAATCATGACCCCTGGGGGTAGGGCAGGGCCAAAATGGCCGATCAAGTTTTACATAGGAATATGTAGGAAAAATCTAAAAAATCTTCTTCTCAAGAAACAATGAATCAGGAAAGATGAAAGTAATGAGAATATATCCTCAGGTAGTGTAGATTCAAGTTTGTTCAAGTCATGACCCCCGGGGGTAAGGGTGTGGCCAAAATGGCCGACCAAAGTTTTACATAGAAATATATAGGGAAACCTTTTTAAATCTTCTTTTCAAGCACCTCAAAGCCATGATTAGTAATATTTATATGGAATCATCCTCAGGTAATGTAGATTCTAGTTCGTTCAAATTATGATCCCCTTGGGGGTTAAAATTCAAGCCCCCCCCCCCACTTAAGTTAACTTTCAGTTCTGATCTGATATGTGTTTTTTTTCCTAGCTGATGTGCTCAGGTGAGCGCTGTGGCCCCTGGGCCTCTTGTTCAATTAACTTCTTTATAATCTCATGTGTGAGTTTTAAGTCGGATGCGGAAATTGGGCCGCTCCGCATGTTGAGTGTTATTTTTCAATATACCTGTTTATAATCTGCTGTGTGAGTTTTAAGTCGGATGCGGAAATTGGGCCGCTCCGCATGTAGAGTGTTATTTTTTTCAATATACCTGTTTATAATCTCATGTGTGAGTTTTAAGTCGGATGCGGAAATTGGGCCGCTCCGCATGTAGAGTGTTATTTTTTTCAATATACCTGTTTATAATCTGCCGTGTGAGTTTTAAGTCGGATGCGGAAATTGGGCCGCTCCGCATGTAGAGTGTTATTTTTCAATATACCTGTTTATAATCCCATGTAGAGTGTTATTTTTCAATATACCTGTTTATAATCTCATGTGTGAGTTTTAAGTCGGATGCGGAAATTGGGCCGCTCCGCATGTAGAGTATCATTTTTCAATTTACCTGTTTATAATCTCATGTGTGAGTTTTAAGTCGGATGCGGAAATTGGGCCGCTCCGCATGTAGAGTGTTATTTTTTTCAATATACCTGTTTATAATTTCATGTGTGAGATTTATGTCGGGTGTGATATTGTAGCAATAATCAGTAAAAAGGCATAGCTTGACTTTGCATATACACATTTTCTGATTTATGTATTTTCATGATTTACCTTAAAAATATGTTAAAGTGAAGTTTACTTCAATATTTTATGTATTGTTATGAATACTATTGGAGCAAGAAATACAAATGTTTACAAAACTGATAATTTTGTTGTTATTATTATTTTAAACTGACACTGTTACATTTGTAAAATGGTAAACAGCGTTACTGCTTATGAAGTATATATATTTTCTTTAGAGAAGTACATACTGTAAGAAAAGCAAACACTAAACTCTTTTCCATGCCTCAGAATTTCTTTGAAAAGACCATGATAAATTGAGATTTATATAAAAATAATTGAATTTTCTCCTCTTTAGAATATATATGATATGTTTATTACTAATTAAGTTCACATCATGACGTTAAAGTATATATGATTGACGTCATGACGTTAAAGTAAGTAACGGCAACGTCAAGACGTTGTAGAATTAACATTGAGAACAATACCAAATTCAAACAGCTGTAAAAATAAAACTAGAAGAGATATTGTTAAAAAATAAAATGTTATATAATATACTAATCTAAGAGCATTGTTTGAAAAAGTTTCATCCGTTTCGATGACAGGGCGGATTTTTGTACATTCTGGCTTAAGTCATTTTAAGATAATTCCTGAATATTTAAAAACCTGAAAATAATATCCTTGTATTTACATTAGGCAGTAAAGAACAACTTAACATTGAATGTATATTTAAACAATTATGAAGCTTGTGTTATATAGAATGCCAGCCTTTAATGAATGCAAATATCATGAAGGCTTGACCTTAACTTCAAACAAACAGCAGTTGCAGACAAACGTTTTCATTAATCTTAAAGATAAAGAAAAGCCTACTAAATTTTCTGCAGCAGGCTAGATAATTAATCCCAAAGGATTAATTGTACCTCTCTCATCATTTTCTTCTAAAGTTACAATAAGAACTTTTTCAGTATTAATGATAGAATGGGGTTTTTATACAACTACCTTAAAAATTAATTAACATAAAGTGAAAAAAAGTAAATCAAAAAATCTTTTTTAATCTATTTCTTGTTTTTAGCATTCAATGAAATCATAACTATTAAACAAAAATAAATTACAAAAATTTATATTTAAATCCACATTTCTGAGTGTTCATAGCATTCCAAATTGACTTAACTTCAAAACAAACTTCATTTGCAGATAGAGGTGGTAATTCATCTCAATGTGACAGATAAAGATAATGCTCTGGATTTTCTTCAGGAGGAAAGCTAATTAATCCCAAGGGACTCATAGCCAGCATTCAGTTTACAATGGGAACATCTTCAGCAGTTATCTCTCTTTGCCAATGCATTCTTCTATAAAGTTAAGGAATCTACCCCACCACCCCAGCTCCAAACCAGGGGACATAGAGAACCAAACTTAGCATCAAAATATGTATTTCTGCCTACTGAACTACCATACCAAATTTGTACTTGATTGGGCAACCATAAAAAAAGTTGCCCATTCATTCTTATGCATAGTTAAGGAATCTACCCCCATCACTCCAGCTCCAAACCAGAAAACATAGAGAACCAAACTTAGCATCAAAATATGTATTTCTGCCTACTGAACTACCATACCAAATTTGAACTTGATTGGGCAACCATAAAAAAAGTTATTAGAAAAAAACAGAAAATTTGTGGACGGAAGAGTGACAGACGGACAGACAGAGTGATTACTATAGGGCACCCGCAAATCCTTGCGGGGCCCTAATAAAAACAAGAGGCCCATGGGCCACATCGCTCACCTGAGCACCAAGGGTAGGACTAGTATAAAATGGCTTTTTATTGTAAAGTTCAAATCCAAAAGTAGTCCCATGACCAATCTTGGATTTGCTATTTTCTAGAAAATGATTGAGAAGAAGATTTTTAAAGAATTTTCCTATATATTTCTATGTAAAAATTTGGTCGGCCATTTTGGCCCCGCCCTACCCCCGGGGGTCATGATTTGAACAAAATTGAATCTACACTACCTGAACATGCTTCCATATAAATATGATGAATAATGGCTTTGTCCTTCTTGAGAAGAAGATTTTTAAAGAATTTTCCTATATATCTCTATGTAAAACCTTGGTCGGCCATTTTGGCCCCGCCCTACCCCCGGGGGTCATGATTTGAACAAACTTGAATCTACACTACCTGAGCATGCTTCCATATATATATGATGAATTATGGCTTTGTTATTCTTAGGAAGAAGATTTTTAAAGAATTTTCCTATATGTTTCTAAGTAAAACTTTGGTCGGCCATTTTGGCCCCACCCTACCCCCAGGGGTCATGATTTGAACAAACTTGAATCTACACTACCTGAGCATGTTTCCATATAAATATGATGAATTATGGCTTTGTCCTTCTTGAGAAGAAGATTTTTAAAGAATTTTCCTATATATTTCTATGTAAAACTTTGGTCGGCCATTTTGGCCCCGCCCTACCCCCGGGGGTCATGATTTGAACAAACTTGAATCTACACTACCTGAGGATGTTTCCCCATAAGTTTCATCTTTCCTGGCACAGTGGTTCTTGAGAAGAAGATTTTTAAAATATACCACTAAATTTTCATTAATTCCCAATTATCTCCCCTTGAATAAGGGTGTGGCCCTTCATTTGAACAAACTTGAATCCCCTTCACCCAAGGATACTTTGTGGCAAGTTTGGTTGAAATTGGCCCAGCGGTTCTTGAGAAGAAGTCGAAAATGTGAAAAGTTTACAGACAGACAGACAGACAGACGCCGGACAAAATGTGATCAGAAAAGCTCACTTGAGCCTTCGGCTCAGGTGAGCTAAAAAACTATTACAAATTTGTTAGTGTGTTCGGATAATAGGCACCTAAATAAAAAAATTATCATATTAATAATAATAATGAAAAAGGAAAACATAATACATAATATAATTTATAGATTTATTATTTTTTCATACACCCATTCTTTTAAAATTTATATCTATGAAAGGTAAAAGTCTTGATATATAACATTCAAGAAAAAGTATTTCCCAAATATATAGACTCCAGCCAAGCCATCGTCTGCTTATATTCCGGTGTCATCTGATGTTCCGGAAGCTGTCCAAGATCACCCATTCAGCAACAGTAGTGTTCAAATTACAGACGACAACTTGGAGAAGAAACGGAAAATAGCAAGACCCTACAGTCAAAAAGAAAGTGATGAAAGGTGATGAAAGATGAGATGTCTTAAGAGTATTTCTAATACAGTTGAAAATTTATCCCTACATGACAATTGTTATTCTATAAACCAACTTTATCCCGGGAACATTAATGAAAATCGCTAACCATTTATTTTGATTTGTATTTTTAGAAAACAAGAAATTCACGAATATTTTTTTATATTCAAGATTAATTTAATTTTCGTTCTTTTTAGTATACATACAAGAAGTCATAAAAACGGATCCCATATAATTTATCTTAGGGTGGGAGTAATTTATTCCTATAAAATTTTCCTCCACATTTCATCCACTTCAGTCCAAACCTGATTTCCCGATAAATTTCTGGCTCCGCCTCCTTCGAATATTAATGAAACATACTAAAAATACAATTCGGGCAAGTGCATTACTCCGGACGTATTACCAAGAAAATGGGCATTTTTAATTTACATTAACAAAAATTTAGCGCAGTTTTTCATTTTAAAAAATTTGCAGTTAAAGACCGCGGAACATTAACTGTCAAGATTGGAAATATACAGCTTACGTCATTTCTATCTGCTACAATCAAAACATTCAGTGATAGACAATGAAATGTGCGGGTACAATTCGACGCCGACGTGGGGAAAACATCGGAGTGAAACTGCAGATTGAAATTCATTCTCAATCCACCTCAGCCAGGCTAGAAGGCACATTATTACTGATTGACCCAAAAGACAAATAATTATGTTCCCCAAACGGAGTTTGGGGACATATTGTTTTTACTCTGTTTCTTATTATTAAGTCTTCCGTTCACAACGGAAGACTTATAGTGTTTGTATTGTTTCTTTTTAAGACCTTATTGTTTTCCTTCTGTTTTTTATTATTATTATTCTTTTTTCATAGTACAGCCGATATCTCAGCTATGAGTAGACAGATTTCAACGATTTTTTCAGGGAAGATGCATCATGAGAATATCTCCAGACGTGTTTTTCATTTTTTCAAAATTTACTTCCGTTCGCGATTTTTGGGGATTTTTTTATTTTTTAGAAGGCATTTTGTCCAGCAGTTTTCTCGAGAACAGCTAAAGATATGAAAGTGAAACTCACTGAGGTGATAGAACATCGAACTCCGTTATGGGGAACGTCCTTTATTTTTCGTCGTCGGCACTTCCGGTCGCAAACGGAAGTGAATTCAAAACGTCCGATTTTTCAACTTTTTTGTTTTTGAATATTTTTCTTTAGGATTTACATGGTTTATAGAGTGTCTTATGAGAATTCTAAATATGTGTTCAATATCTTGATGCGTGCATATATTGAAAAGATATGACCAAACCAAACTTTGTCCCACTGTTGTGGTTTCGAATCCTGCTGTGGGCGTTGAAATATTTTTTTTGTTTCTGTCTTTTTTCAGTTGCAAATGACTTTTCTCTCTTTTTTAACATGTATTGAAGATTTTGCCGATTTTTAAAACCTTTTTTTGAGATATTTTGAGGAATACCTGTAATAATCATGAGATATGTTGAGAGGCTGCTGTAAATGAACATAAACGAAAGAAATACATTCTGAAATTTTATGGGATGACGCAGCATAGAATTCTAACGAAAATCGGTCGGAAGACCTGCTTGTTGACCCAGCAACAAGAACGCATCTAGTTATTAAGGTCTTCCGTCTCCAACGGAAGACCTTCTTGTTTTCGTTCGGTTTCTTTTTCCCTATTATTATTATTATTCTTCCAACCGATTTTGTGCAAGCGATTTCTCAGAGATGGCTCGTCCGATTTCTACCAAACTTTCAGATCTGAAAGATATTCAATTGGTCTTGATAGGTTTTTTTCGTTTTTGATTATCTCACTTCCGGTCGTGAGATATGGACGATTTTGTGATTTTTAGAGGGTCGGCTTGTCCGGGAAACTCCTCCGAAACGACTTAAGATATGGACTTGAGATTTTCAGGGAAAATAGAGAAAGGTTTGGTGAGTTGTAATTGGGTCTCCAAATCTTTCTAGCGCAAAAGGCAACAAAGTTCGGTGGGGCCAAAAAAATGTCTCAGAAATATCTCACAAAATTTGACATATTTTGTCTCATATCTTCACTCCTGTTCATAATTTGTTAAAACATATTGAAGACAAAATGTTCAATATCGCAAGACCTTTCATTTGATATAAAAAAAATAGGGCTGACCCTTCAAATTAGGGGCTAAGAGGGGCCAAAAGTCTTTTGTCTATAACTCTCTAGAGATCAATTCTTTGTTATACATTATTGATCAAAAGTATTCATCTTAACAATTAGATTATAAATATCTAAGTTGTTTGAAAATTGGTTTATCCGAATTCTAGATATTAATATTTAAAAATCTGAAGCGGGCCCAAGATGGCGGCTGTCTTTGTCAATTCCGAATTCCGCCATTTCGCAATTGGGGTTTATGGAGGCAGCTGAGCGTTTGATTAAACCATTCTGACATACGAATGCATGAAATGTAAACAATATTACTTGGACTTTCACGTAGTAGTGCGTTGCAATTCAGTGTCGATCTTAACATTTAATTTCCGTTTCACTACTTAAGTGTAACTGGGCTAGATACGATAAATGTAATGTGTACAAAGACTTTTTAAACGTCGAAATAAAATAAAGGCGATAAGAACGTTTTATTTATTTTATTTCATTGTAGCTATCACACCAATTTAATAGATAAGTTCTAAGAAAATGCACGAATATTTACTCCTGGCGTTTGGCGCAAATTATTAATAGTGACCGGCCTTTTATGATTCTTAGACAGGTGTACTGTTGCAAAAGTATACACACAAGTATATTTAGAGCAGTACTCCCAAAAGCTTAATGGTTTGCGCGTTGGGGATGAAACAGAAAAAGGCGACATGGGTTCAATCCTCTTTGCGACCAAAATTTTGAATCTTTTTCTGTGATATTCATGGCATAGGTAAAGGTCCCTATTTGCTGATTTAACGTATAATCAGTTTCTTGATTTGATAAAGAAGAAATTAATTATCTTTTAATGTCTTAGAACTTTCGCAAGCGTAGGTTCAACGTTTTCTTAAACACTAAAAAATATTCATTTCATTTTCTCATAAATAGGCTGCGCCGATAATACACATGGTGCCAATGTGCAAGTAAGGTCATCCCCGTGATGGGGAATGGACCTGTAGAAAACCTTCTCTGGTTCTGCAGAGTCGAGTTTTTAACAAATAAAATGTATGAAAATGCACGAATATTTACTTGTGGCGTTTGGCGCAAATTATTGATAGTGACTCGCCTTTTATGATTATTAGACAGGTGTACTGTTGCAAAAGTATACACACAAGTACATGTATATTTAGAGCAGTACTCCCAAAAGCTTTATGGTTTGCGTGTTGGGGATAAAACAGAAAAAGGCGACATGGGTTCAATCCTCTTTGCGACCAAAATTTTGAATAACTTTTCAGCTCGATTATACGAGATTTCTTTTCCTGAATAGGACGGAAGACCTCTCGTTGCTAGCAACGAGATCGTTTCTAGTTATTATTATTATTCTTCCAACCGATTTTGTGCAAGCGATTTCTCAGAGATGGCTAGTCCGATTTCTACCAAACTTTCAGATCTGAAAGATATTCAATTGATCTTGATAGGTTTTTTTTCTTTTTGATTATCTCACTTCCGGTCGTGAGATATGGACGATTTTCTGATTTTCAGAGGGTCGGCTTGTCCGGGAAACTCCTCCGAAACGACTTAAGATATGGACTTGAGATTTTCAGGGAAAATAGAGGAAGGTTTGGTGAGTTGTAATTGGGTCTCCAAATCTTTCTAGCGCAAAAGGCACCGGAGTTCGGTAGGGCCGAAAAAATGTCTCAGAAATATCTCACAAAATTTGACGCATTTTGTCTCATATCTTCACACCTGTTCATAATTTGTTAAAACATATTGAAGACAAAATGTGCAACATCGCAAGACCTTTCATTTGATGTCAAAAAAATAGGGCTGACCCTTCAAACTAGGGGCTAAGAGGGGCCAAAAGTCTTTTATCTATAACTCTCTAATGATCAATATTTTGTTATACATTACTGAGCAAAAGTATTCATCTTAACAATTTTATGCTTACTATATAAGTTGTTTGAAAATTGGCTTATCTGAATTCTATATATTAATATTTGAAAATCTGAAGCGGGCCCCAGATGGCGGCTCTTTGTCAATTCCGCCATTTCGCAATTGGGGTTTATGGAGGCAGCTGAGCGTTTGATTAAACCACTCTGACATACGAATGCATGAAATGTAAAAAAAAACTACTTGGACTTTCACGTAGTAGTTCGTTGCAATTCAGTGTCAATCTTAACACGTAATTTCCGTTTCACTACTTTAGTGTAACTGGGCTAGATACGATATATGTAATGTGTACAAAGACTTTTTAAACGTCGAAATAAAATAAAGGCGATAAGAACGTTTTATTTATTTTATTTCATTAAAGCTATCACACCTATTTAATAGATAAGTTCAAAGAAAATGCGCGAATATTTACTCGTGGCGTTTGGCGCAAATTATTGATAGTGACCCGTCTTTTATGATTCTTAGACAGGTGTACTGTTGCAAAAGTATACACACAAGTATATTTAGAGCAGTACTCCCAAAAGCTTAATGGTTTGCGCGTTGGGGATAAAACAGAAAAAGGCAACATGGGTTCAATCCTCTTTGCGACCAAAATTTTGAATCGCTTTTCAGCTCGATTTTACGAGATTTTTTTTCCTGAATCGGACGGAAGACCTCTCGTTGCTCGCAACGAGATTGTTTCTAGTTATTATTATTATTCCTCCCAAATTTTGTGAGCGCGATTACGAAGAGATGGTTGGATAGATTTCGACAATTTTTCACATGATAGTAGGCTGATATATGAAGTTTATATAAAATTCCGTTTTTTGAAAAATTCACTTCCGGTCCGAAGTTATGGCCGAATTTTCAATTTTTAAATGACATTTTGTCCGGAATTTTTCTTGAGAACGAGTTGAGGTAAAAATGTGAAATTTACAGAAGTTTTATATTATGACATTGTCCTTGTTTTGAAGTAGGTTTCGTATGTTTCTAGCAAATTCCTGTATGCACCGGAAGTGAATTTGTGTTTCAGTCAATTTTCGAGTTTTTTGTTTTTAAATATTTTTTCAAGATATTTCTAGGCATAATAGAGATAGATCCATAGAAGCCAAATATATAATTTGTTTTAAAATCAGATCACGCGTTTTGTAGATTTCAGCTACTTTCGTTTTGCATTTATAAAATCAAAGTACTGAAAGTACTGATGGAGCATTTTTTACTTTTAATTACATGAAGGTTATGTATACATGTTTCTCTTCATATAAAATCAATACATACATTCTCATAAATATTAGGTTGACGACTTAAAATTGCAATAAAAATCAAAGTACTTTAAGTACTGAAAGAACTGTTTTACATACCAA